GGTATCTTATGTGAGGCTGGTGAGGGACCTAGTGACTGCACTGTTTGCTGTCTATATCAGCCACTGGAGAACAGATGAAGGTGTCAGAGGCACAACTCAGAGCTGACTGTCATAACTTGAGATCCTTAAGATTTTGAGAAGGGGATAGTGATTAAACATTAAGTGATTAAGCATGAAAGTTTTGGAATTTTTTTCCCGAGGGAAAGGTGCGTGTATATGAACACACACACACACACACACACACACTTTTATGGAGTTTGGTCATGGATTCCAACTTGAGAACTCACTATGTACGATGCACTTTCTAAAGTTGTATGGATTCTTATTAGCTTTCAGAGGAGAGAAATGCTTTGTAATAATCTCCATTTAGCTACAAAAAAAAAGTAGTTTCTTTTTCCTTTTAGACTTTGTTTTTTAAATATTTTAATTATTTGTTTTTAGACTTTATTTTTTAAAACAGTTTTAGGTTCACAGCAAAATTGAGCAGAAGGTACACAGATTTCCCATTTACCTCCTCCCACAACATAGCCTCCTGCATTATCAACATCCCCCACCAAAGTGGTACATTTGTTACAGTTGATGAACCTATACTGACACGTTATTATTACCCAGAATCCATAGTTTACCTTAGGGTTCACTTTTGCTGTTGTACCTTCTCTGGGTTTGGACAAATGTATAATGACATTGATTTTCATTAAACCATCATACAGAGTAGTTCCACTGCCCTAAAATTCTCTTTGCTTCATCTATTCACCCCTCTCTCCTCTCAACCGCTAGCAAAGACTGATCTTTTTACTGCCTATATCTATAGTTTTGCCTTCTCCAGAATGTTATAGAGTTGGAATCATACAGTATGTAGTCTTTTCAGAATGACTTCTTTCACTTAGCGATGTGCATTTAAGATTCTTCCATGTCTTTTCATGGTTTGATAGCTCATTTCTTTTTAGCACTGAATAATGTGCCATAGTCTAGATGTACCACAGTTTATTTTTCCATTCACCCACTAAAGGATATCTTGGTTGCTTCCAAGTTTTGACAATTATGAATAAAGTTGCTGCAAATATCTGTGCATAGGTTTTTGGGTCATACATTTTTAACTCTTTTGGGTAAATACCGAGGAGTGCAATATAGTAAGAATATGTTAGTTTTGTAAGAAATCCTCAAACTATTTTCCAAAGTGCTGTCCTCTTTTGAATTTCTACCAGCAATGAATGAGAGTTTCTATTGCTCCATACCCTTCTCAGCATTTGGTGTGGTCAGTGCTTTAGATTTCTTTTTTTTTAAATTTTAATTTTATTTATTTTTTTACTTTAGAGAAAGAGAGAAACACAAGTGGGGGAGAGGGAGAGGGGCAAAGAGAGAGAGAGGTTTCATGCTCAGCATGAAGCCGGACTAGGGGCTCAACCCCTGACCCTGGGATCGTGACCTGAGCCAAAACCAAGAGTCAGACACTCAACCCACTGCATCACCCAGTTGCCCCTCTGTACCTTTTAATATGATCATCTGATTTTTCTTCTTTAGCTTGTTGATATGAAGGATTACGTTAATTGCTTTTTGAATGTTGAAGCAACCATGCATACCTGGGATAAATACCACTTGGTTGTGTTGTGCTGTTCTTTTTATATATTGTTGGATTAGACTTACTAATATTTTGTCAAGGACTTTTGCATCTATGTTTATGAGAGATATTGGTTTATAGTTTTCTTTCCTTTTGAAGTCTTTGTCTGGTTTTGGTATTATGGTAATTCTGAATCATAGGATGATTTAGGAAGCATTCCCTGTGCTTCTACCATCAGAAAGAGATTGTAGAGAATTGGTCTAATTCCTTTCCTAAATGTTGGGAAGAACTTATCAGTGAACCCATGTGGGTCTGGTGCTTTTAACTTTTGAAGGTTATTAATCATTGATTCAATTTCTTTAATAGATATTGTCCTGTTCAGATTGTCTATTTCTTCTTATGTGAGTTTTGGCAAATTGTATCTTTCAAGGAATTAGTCCTTTTCATTCAAATTATCAATTTGTGATAGACTTGTTAACTGTATTCCTTTATTATCTTTTAACGCTTATGGGATCTATAGTGATATCCCCCTTTTCACGTCTGATATATTCTGCCTGCTGGATCTGCCTCTTTTTGATAGAAAGGTATTGATGTCTCCAGCTATTTCTCCTTGCAGTTCTGTTGGTTTTTAACTCATGTATTTTGCACCTATGTTGTTAGGTGCATCCACATCAAAGGTTGCTATATATTCTTGGTGAATAGATGCCTTTATCATTATGCAATGTTTCTCTGTCTTAGCATGGGCTGCCATAACAAAATACCATCAACCAGTTGGCTTAAATAATAGACACTTCTTTTCTCCATTTTTATATCAGGCTGGGAGTCTGAGATAACAGTGTCAGCATGGTCAGTTTCTGGTAGGGCTTCTCTTTGTGGCTTATAGGTGGCTGCCATCTCACTGGGGGTGCTCACTTGCTGTCTTCTTGGAGAAAGGGAGAGAGCAAGCTCTCTGGTCTCTCTTTTTAGGACACTAATCCTACTATACAATGACCCGCCATTATGACTCATTTAGTTTTACTTCCCTCCTTATAAGCCCTATTCCCAAATGTAGTCAAGCTGGTGCATAGGGAGTCAACGTACAAATTTGGGAGCACACAATTCAGTTTATAGCACCTTATTTGTCCCTGAAAATTTTCTTTGCTCTGAAGTCTGTTCTGTGTGAAGTTAATATAGTTACTCGAGCTTTCTTTTGAGTAGTCTTATCATGGTATAATTTTCTCCATTCCCCTTCTTTTAATCTACTTTGTATTTACAGTGGAGTTTTTATTGGCAGCATATAGTTGAATCTTATTTTCTGATCCACTTTGACTATCTGTCTTTTAATTGGTGTGTTTAGGCCATTGTTTAAAGTGGTTATTGATATGATGGTTGGATTAATAGCTACCATATTCGTTACTGTTTTCTATTTGTTGCTCTTGTTCTTTATTCCTAATTTTGGCTTCCACTTTTTTTCCTGCTATTTGTCATTTTATTTATTTATATTTTTTAAAGTTTATTTATTTATTTTGAGAGGAGGTGAGGGGCAGAGAGAGAGAGAGAGAGAGAATCCCATGGTGGCTCTGTGCCATTAGCTCGGAGCCTGATGCGGGGCTCAAACTCATGAACCATGAGATCATGACTTTAGCTGAAATCAAGAGTTGGACACTCAACCAACTGAGCCAGTCAAGCATTCCTGCCATTTGTGGTTTTAACTGAACATTTTCATTTCTCTCCTTTCTCTTAGCATATTGGTTATACTTAAAACAACAACAACAACAACCTTTTTTAGTGGTTGCCCTAGAGTTTGCAACACACATTTATGACTTATCCAAGTCTACTTTCTTATAACGCTATACCACTTCGCTAGCAGTGCAAGTACCTTATAACAAAATATTCCTGATTTCTCCCTCTTGGCCCTTGTGTCATTGTTGTCATGCATTTTTCTTAAATACGGGTTATAATAATCAAGTACATTGTTCATATAACTATTTTGAACAAATTGTTATTTGTTAGATCAGTTAAGAGTAAGAAAAAGTTTTTACCTTATCTTCATTATTCCTTCTCTAATGCTCTTCCTTTCTTTATGTAGCTCTAAGTTCCTTTATGTACATCCAAGTTCCTAACTAAGTTCCTAATCATTTTCCTTCTCTCTGAAGAGTTTCTTTTACCACTTCTTGCAAGACAAGATGCTTTTTATTAGGATCATGTCCCAAATCAACTATTTGTACTCAAATACTTGGCTCAGTGTCTGCTTCTAGGGGAACTCAGCTGAAGACAGTTAATTGAAAAAAAATCCTGTTGGATAGAAAGACTTACAAACTGTCTTTAATCGTCTATGGAAAGTAGTGAAGTATAAATGAATAAAAATAAACAAATGGTAGTATTGACTTTTATGCAACTCGGTTTTTATAACTTTTACTTTTTAAATAATTTCAAGCATACTGATAAGTTGTAAGAGTGGTACAAAAAATGCCAACATACTTTCACTCTCTTTCTCATTTCCCTTCAACCAGCTTGCCACATCTGCCTTATTATTCTTCTGAACCTTTTGGGAGTAAGGTGCAGACATGATACTTCTTTCTCCCTAGTACTTCAGTATATAAATCCCTAAGAATGAAACATTCTTTTGTATGACCATAATACAATCATCAAAATCAGAAAATTAACATGGATATAATGCTATTATCTCCAAACTTTATTACAATTTTGGTAAGTTTCCCAAAAATATTTAACAGCTGTGATTTCCCTCTGATTTGGTACCCTATCCAGGATCATACATTGCATTTGGTATCATGTCTCTAGTCTCCTTTAATCCAAGACCATTTCTTAGTCTTTGTCTTTTATGACCTTGACATTTTTGAAGAGTACAGGCCAGTTCTTTTGTAGAATGTCCCTTGGTGGATTTTTCTGATGTCTCCTTATTATCAGATAGATGTTATTCATTTTTTGGCAGAAATACCATCAAAGTGTTAATGTATCCTTCTCACTGGAGAGTATCAGGAGGCACCATTGTTGGTGATATTAACTTTGATCACAAGTTAAGGTTATGTCTACCAGGTTTATCTAGTATATAATTTCTGTTTCTCTTTTTGTAATTAATAAGTGTTTTATGGAAGTATCTTGAGATAGAAAGTAGTGTTTAGAACAGGATGGAGACATGTCATGGGGACAGGAGCAAGCTTTAAGGAGTTTCCCCCTGGCCAAATCTGGGACAATTTGAGCTTTAAATAACAATAGTAACAGATTATAACCCATGTATGAAATAGTAATCCATGACATTTTGGTAATTAAAAATTGACAGAAACAGGTTAGAACTCATTGCATAAAGTAATAATCCATTAATCCATATTTGTTTATAAGTAAGTAAGTGAACAAATAAATGGAGAAGGAAAAGTTCTTTCTTAGAGTAGAATTCCAACTGATAAAGATAGAATGAATGAAGAAAAGTGAATATTTAGCAGCCATGATGGTAATAGTCAATTTAGGCAAGTATTTTCTTTTTTTTCTTTTTTTTTTTTTAAATGTTTTATTTATTTCTAGGAGAGAGAGAGAGAGAGAGCGTGAGCAGGGGAGGGTCAGAGAGAGAGGGAGTCACAGACTGAAACAGGCTCCAGGCTCTGAGCTGGCAGTCAGCACAGAGCCCGACGTGGGGCTCGAACCCACAAACCGCGAGATCATGACCTAAGCGAAAGTCGGACGCTTAACCAACTAAGCCACCCAGGTGCCCCTTTAGACAAGTATTTTCAATGGATGCTAGAACTTTCGTCACTGGGGTATAATCATGTTATATTAATTATATGCTATTATTATAATATATTAATAAATATGTAGCAAATTCCAGACAGAAGATTTATGTCCTCCCTAGACTTTAAATAACCTGAGATCTAGTAGAGAAGGTTTGTGTACACAAATTATTACAGCACAGGGAAGAAATTGATGGTGTATCACATAAAATGAAGAGAAATATGAAACCATCTAAGAAAGAATACTAGACAGGATCCTCACCATGTCTGACCCACTGTGGTCATTTCTTTGTGTTGCCCCCCACATGCAATTCATTCCCCAACATCAGATGTTTTCAATGAGTAAGAAAACAAGCTGCTAGTCCTTTGGACTGATGAGTGAGGAGGTAGAGAGATTTTTGCAGGCAGCTGCTTCTTTGGTTTCCAAGGGAAACAGTGGTAGAGCTGCATCAGAAAAGGAGTGGGAAGGCTGTGGTTTAGCACAGATGGGTCATTCTATCAGGTGTTTATAAGTGGTTACCTGTACTTCCTCAGCAATGCAAGATTGTGGAGAATATTAAAATGTTGGAATAGTGATAACAGATTTTAATTTTTCTTTCTGAATTTCTTGGAAGGAACTTTATTCTTGGAATTTACTTTTCCCATCATCTATCAAAGCCCAACTATATTGCTCTCTCAGGGGCATAGTACAATTTTCTCTTCTACACAGTATCACTGTGACTACTGAGTCACAGGCAAGGAAGAATGAAGTTAGTCATTGGGGTCTGTGCACTCACAGCATGATTAAAATAGTACAAAAGAAAATAATAAAGTGAACCACTGTTTATTCTGGCTGATGAGGAAGGCTTTCAAGATTTCTGGTGAAGTCTTTATTTCAAAGTTATCCTTGGAACCTGGTTCAGATACCTGCCCCATGTCCCAACATAGCTGTGAAGCTTCAGCCAGCCTCCTGCTGGGGAGCTCAGGAGTGGCCTGGCAGGGAGAGGAATCACCCAGGAATGGTTGGAACAAACTAGATCATGATGGAGTTGGCTTTTACCAGGCAGGCCAGGAGTCTAAGGAGGGCCTGTCTCACTTGCGCTCAATCATATCCCTTGTCACTAGTCAAAAGGTCTGGCTTTTGGGCACATGGTGTTTATAGGGCCTGGAGGCAGGCAGAAAGGGTTATGAGCCCAGTTGAGCAAATTGGGTTAAAGGACTGGGCTCCGGTTTCATCAGGGAAGTAGAGTACACTTTCCAAAAGTAGATCTTAGGGATTAGACAAATAATTATTTATAAATTCAAATTATTTACTGAGTGCCTATTATGCACCAGTGACTAGACCCAAATGCTACTGCATAGCTGGAACCAGGGGACTATACCAGACTTGTGGTTATAAAACCAATTGAAAGCACAAGCAGTGGTGACGAGGCAACCAGGAACTGTCACCATTGGCACCACCTGAGAATTTCACAGTAATGCAAATTCTACTGAATCAGAAACTCTGGGGGAGAGTTCCAACAATCTGTATTTTAACAGGCCCTATAGGTGATTCTGATGTATGCTAGAGTTTGATAACCACTGGACTCCCTTGATGATATTTGCTTAGGTCTTGGGTGAGGCGGAACAATGCTGGTCTTAGGGGACAGGACTAGGGAAGGCAGGGATTCCAATTTCCCATGAGTTGCTGGTTTCATAACCTACTTCTGTATCATAAAGCTTCTTAGAACTCTTATAAACACTCCTCACCAATTTCTGGTATCTAGAACCAATTTAATTTCTGAGTTGAAGGCAGGAACTGGCAACCTTTTTTGAGCAAAACTGGACACTTGGGAAATTAACATCCAGAGGCAAAATATGTCTGGCAGATATATCTTTGTTCTGATCACCAAAGTTCTCCCAGCTGAGGGAAGAGTAGTTTGTTAGAGGACTGTTCTTGGGTGAATGGCAAGGGCCAAGAACATGAGAGTAACTCTGGAGATTATGTAACTTCTTTCTCTTTCCTTTGACTTTTCATTTTGATTTCTGGAAATTTGTCTTCTTTTTCATGATTAGTGCTTCTAGATTTAGAGATTAGGGCAAGATTTCACAATGCTAGTCCTGACGATAGCCTTATGGAATGCTGCAAACTCAGTTCCCTTCTTATGTATCACAGAGCATGTGAAGAAATAAATGGCCTTATGAAATTCTATATTTATTAATTCAACAAGTACTTATTTAGTGCCTACTCAGTACTAGGTCCTGTTCTGGATGTTGGGGATATAGACTGTAAAAAAATATATGTTTATCTTGGTTTGAATATTAAAATTTTTTATTTGAATATTAAACTTACTTGAATATTAAAATTTTTTACTGTGTAACATATTCACCTATGAAGGGACTAACATACCGTGGAACAGTCTTTGAGAGTGATAGATGTATCAGTGCAAGGATAGATATATCTGTACAAAAGACATGAGTTCCAGGCAGCTGAAGTAAGGGAGAAATTAGGGACATTTTGAAACACAGAAAATGTTCACCATAGAGATATAAATTTCACAATCATTGTTGGCTACTCCATGATGGAAAAAAGTTTTCCCATATATCAACTTGTCTGTAATAATTATAAGTATCACAGTGATGGTGATTTTAGAAGCTATTTATATCAAATATTTTCACTTAATATCTCTTAATATCACTTAAGAGCTCTAAATTATGTTATTTCATTATTATTTATTTTTTAAATAATTATCTATTATTATAGATAATTATTATTTATCTATTATCTATTATTTATCTATTTATTTTTGAGAAAGAGAGAGAGAGAGCACAAGTAGGTATGGGGCGGTGGAGGGAGGAGGCACAGAGTTGGAAGCAGGCTCCAGGCTCTGAGTTGTCAGCCCATGAACAGTGACTTAAACCCATAAGCAGTGAGATCATGACCTGAGCCAAAGTTGAATGCTTAATGACTGAACCACCCAGATGGCTCAAGAGCTCTAAATTATTTTATACATAGTCGGAGCCTCCACCACCATTGTGGCCACCTGGAATAGACGGGACCACTGCCTCTGCCTTACTACCCGCTCCATGCCTTTGGAGAAGACCTACCTCCAGGCAGCGCCACACCTTCCAGCAAAGAGTAGAAGACATCCAACTTATCCGAGAGCCCAAGTATCCTATGAAAATCCCAGTGATAATAAAACAGTACAAAGGTGAGAAACGACTTCCTGTCGGTGAGAATCGACCAAGTTTTTTTTTACCTGATCACATCAACATGAGTGAGCTCATCAAGATCTTTAGGAGGGTTTACAGAGCTAATGGCATTCTTCCTGTTAGTGAATGGCATAGTGCAGTGAGTGTGTCCACGCCGATTTATGAAATATATGAAAGTGAGAAGGATGAAGATAGCTTCCTGTATATGGTATACACTTCTCAGGAGACATTTGGAATCAAAGTGTCTGTGTAAGACTAGAAAAATACATCCGTTTTGGAATGTTTTTAAAAAATTGTTTTAACATTTATTTACTTTTGAGAGACAGAGAGAGACAGAGCATGAGCAGGGATGGGGCAGAAAGAGAGAGAGAGAGAGAGAGAGAGAGAGAGAAACAGAATCTGAAGCAGGCCCCAGGATCTGAGCTGTCAGCACAGAGCCCCACAAAAGGCTTGAACCCACAAACTGAGAAATCATGACCTGAGCTGAAGTTGGATACTCAACCACTGAGCCACCACCCAGGAACCCATGTTCTAGAATTTTTTAAAGGCCTTACCAAGGAAAAAAAGGGATATTACCAACTGAGATTGATCTGTTCATCCAGTCACAGATTATCAAAGCAGTAGTGTTTCTGACTAGGAGTTGTAGGAGGTTGTTCTTTTTTTTTTTTTTAATATTTTTTATTTATTTCTAGTAGTGAGAGAGAGAGATAGACAGCGTGAGCAGGGGAGGGTCAGAGAGAGAGAGAGAGTCACAGACTGAAACAGGCTCCAGGCTCTGAGCTGGCAGTCAGCACAGAGCCCGACGCGGGGCTCGAACCCACGAACCGCGAGATCATGACCTAAGCGAAAGTCGGACGCTTAACCGACTAAGCCACCCAGGCGCCCCTGTAGGAGGTTGTTCTATACTGCAAGCTGAAGAACAGAGCTCCAAATGAGCACGTTCAGCTTTGGAAAAAGTATTATTTAACCTAGGCTGTTTTGTTTTCAAATTTAGAGCTTTAAAGATAAAATACTTTGCATTCTAAGTTGCCAATAAAAAAAAAAAGAGCTCTAAATTATTTTAGTGCATCTAAGAGCAAAACAACTGTTTTAAAGGTGGACTGCTTAAATTGATTAATGACTTGTCCCCAAGTAGAAAGGAACCTTGCCCGTGAAATGCAACCAAATCAAACAGTTGCTTGTTGAATCAATTCTTCTTAAACCTGAATTCCATTAAACCTGCAAACTCCAGTCAAGATGAGTCTAATCTTCCTTCCTTATGGTTGTGCTGGAGACAAGCAGGCTGGCCAGGCCTTCTTCCTCTGTATAATAAGAGGTCAATAGGATTATTTCTAAGCTTTCTTCCATCTCTGATAGTCTGTACAGGGTCTCTTGGACTAGCAAAGCCTAAATGTGGTGGGGGGAGAGGCTCAAGGCATGACCTGGCCCTTCCCTACCTGGACCCCTCTCCAGCCATCTAATGATGAGCATTTCTCCAAATAAATATGTGTCGTGCTTTCTCTTCCTTCTTTGCCTTCATAAAGAGTGTTTTCTTGGCTTGGAACACTTTCTTCCCTCTTTAGTCAGCTACTTCCTACGCATTCTTCAGGCCTCATATCAGACATTTTCTCCCATGACACTGTGATATTGTGATTCATATTAAGGAACGTGTATTTGGTCTTTGTCCAGTTTTTGGCATAAAGCTCCTAAAACTGTAGAAATTTCCTAGGCTGTGACCACCATGAAGATGTCTTTTGTTATGTCAGTGAAGTGACTTTTGTGAAATTCCTGGGTCACCAGATGGGGGCTGGTTGCCACAGGAATCAACCTCTTGATTAGAGGGTTGGAAATTTCAGTACCAACCACTGATCTCTAGGGAAGGGAGAGAGGCTGGAGATTGAGTCAATCACCAATGGCCAATGATTTGCTCAATCATGCCTATATGATGAAGCCTCTATAAAAACCGAAAAGGTTGCACCAGAAGACTTTTCAGGTTGATGAACAGGTGGAGATTCAGTAAGAGTGGTGTGATCTGAGAGGGTATGGAAGCTCTGTCCCTTATTAAATTTTTAAAAAAATTTTTAATGTTTATTTTTGAGAGAGAGAGAGAGAGAAAGTGCGAGAGAGAGAGAGAGGCAGAGAGAAAGGGGACAGAGGATCCAAAGCAGACTCTGAGCTGACAGCAGAGAGCCCCACATTGGGCTCAGACTCATAAACTGTGAGATTGTGACCTGAGCTGAAGTTGAACGCTTAGCCAACCGAGCCACCCTGGTACATTGTTTTACTCATCAGCCTCCCCATGCTAGTCTGTGAGCTCCATGAAAACAGCAGCGTGGTCTGTTCGTTGTGACACCTCAGGCCAGCACAGCACCCAGTACATACACACTGCTAAATTAGGACTTGTTGAGTGAAGGAAAGAGAGGATGCAGAGGACAGAGACCAGACAAGGCTGACAAAGGTGTAATTGGTGTAATATTCTCCTGTGTTAGGACCTCCAGGAGGCCCTGATTGCACATTGCCCTTCATCATGTTTGCTGCTGGCCTCTATTATAACACAAGAGGGTGAGCGGTGAGCTTTGGAGGGACTTTAGGCTTGTGGGGGAGCAAAAATTTTGGGCTCTGTGTTTTTCCTACCTGAAGGGTGAGAGCCTGTTGGGAGGTGGGAATCTCCAGGGAGGAGAGCTCAGCCTAGCCCTGTTCCTTGTCTGGTCTCACCTCTGCCAGGCACACATGATGGGCTCCCAGTCCTGGTCTCAGTATTGCTGCTCATATCTTAAACTTTTTTCTTTCAGTGGCACATTTTTGTTGAATTTATGCCGTTAAAGTGATTTAATTTGGAATACTTTACCTGATAGTACTTACTTATCCTCCTTGAACTTTCTAGTGTTTATTGTACTTTTTAATCTTTTGAGTAATTTTTTTTTAAAGTAGACTCAAGTCCAACTTGGGACTTGAACTCACCACCTGATCAGGACCTGAGCTCAGATCAAGAGTTGGGTGCTTAAGCAACTGAGCCACCCAGGCACCCCTCTACTGAATAATTTTTAAACCAGTTTGATCTTATTTATTGGATGCTATTTTACATTCTTTTTGACTCTGTCCAGCAGGGTATTTTTAGCTAAATTTTGTCCTTATTGGAAGACACTCTTAAATTGTTTGTATTTCTCTTCTTAGCCATTTAAAAAGCATATCAAAATTCTCTAGTATTTTTCTTTTTATTCTTTTCAGTTTTAAAATATTTTTCTGTTTGGTTTATCCTCTCAGTCCATTTCCTAGCATTTGCTGCTAAGTTTGAGATGAGAAGTGGTGATGTCAGGGGAGGAAGCCACAACAGTGACTGGCTTAATGAGGGATTGTTGGCTCTTCTCCCTGTGCTGACAGTTCCAGACAGACACATTCTCCTTTTGCTATCCCCTTCCCTCCTTTTGCTGTTGCTAAAGGAGAACCTGATAATCGCCATGGTCAAGAAAAAGACTTACTCAAATTAAATGCCACTTTTACCCAGTCAGATAGTTTGGGAAATTCACAAGACAAGTTATGTGAGTCAGAAGTTTATTAAGACTGGCCTCACTACTACTCAGGGGAATCACTGAACAGTGCCATCATCTTGTTCCAGAACAAGCCAGAGCCTTCTCTAAACCACAAACCAGTCTCTGAGCATCTCACAGTCTTTGTGGAGAAGAAAAGCTTCACTGAGGGTGGGGAGTGAGGGTCTGCAGCGCAGCCCTTTGAGAGGGGCCTGAGTGAATACCCAGGTGGCCTGGAAAGTCCTGTTAAGGATTATTGAATGGAAGCATAATAAAAGGACAGTAGCCAGGCTGGAGAATTGTATTTTGTTGACCTACTTACAGAATTAACCTGAGTACATTGATTCACCTTCTTTCTGGAATTGAGAAGCTCGGTTGTCAAGCGCTGCTAGACCCACTAGTTCTTGTTGCATGTGTAGTATGGTCACTGACTCATGGAGAGGGGCAGGGAGTGGGAGTTAGGTCAGGCATGAAGGGAGGAGAAAATATTCTGGAATGGTTTATTTCTTTCTTCTCCTTGTTATGTAAGATGTGATTTCCCCCCAAAGAAACAATATGCTAAATAAAAGTTAGGGTCCCAACCCACAGAAGCCTATTTTAACCCACATTTTTGCTGACTATATTCAATTTAATTTAGTTCAAATCAAGAAGGTAGAGTTTTTTTCCCCCTGAGGTAAAGGAGAAGAAGGAAGGCTGTGAGGGTGACCCAAGTGGCACAATTTAGAGTTTTCACTGAGCAGGGCAATGTGTGTGGGGGAGGGTGGAGTGGAAAGAAGAATAAAATGTGACCCCTTCCCTCAGAGAGCTCACACTGTAGTTGGAGAGACAGACACACACCCAGCTAATATGTGCAAAGATGATGGTGGAGGTGTTGTCAGACCAGAGAAGTATTAGTTCTGGGTGGGAAAATCTATAAGACTGGAAGATGTGGCCGCTGCCCCTTGAAGGATGTTAGGGCATTAAACAGCAGAGGGGTGAGGAGAGGGTGGACATTTGAGGCAGAGAAAAGGACCGAGCGAAGGCTCAGGATGGTCAGCTGCAGGGCACAATCAGGGCATAGCCAAGAAGCTGCCGCAGAGTATGAGAAGTGGGATGGAATAGCATAGGGGCAGATGGGCCTTTCTGAGTTGATCTGAAGGTGTATCCATACTTTTCATGCTGAATTATAGGCAGGTGGTGTTTAAAAGCTTCTTTTTTTTTTTCTAAACAGATGTGGTCTGGCCTCAGACTGAAGGGTTGTCTCATATATAATAATTTAATACCACAGAGAGTAAGGAAGTGATTAATTGCAAAAACATTAGTTATATTTAACTTTCTTGGGATATATTTTTCAAAGAGCAGCACAAGATATGCTTTAATAGCTTTATGCCCTTTTTTGTAACTGGCCCATTCTGAAACACTGTACTTTGTGATGGATAAAGCATGTAAAGTCTTGCACAAGTCTGCAGGCTCCAACATGCAGTCAGGAGGAGGAATAGAGGGAAAAATAAGGAAAGGATCTCTAGGAAGGGTCAGGCCCAGAAATAATTTGCAAAAGATTGTGGAGATCTGATACCAATATCCACCTATTTGTGAGTATCTGGACAGCATCATGTATAAACATCTTTCTTTTGGGTATTCATGCAATAAGGAACCTGTGGTAGATGGTGAGAAATCAAGGTCATGACTCAGTGGTGTTTCCATGATTTACCTAGACAAGACTGAATGGAACTTAGTCCTTTATTGAGATACCTGGTTGAAGCAAACACTTGTCCATATCTGCATCTTCAGTTCAATTTTTCCATTGAGAATTGAAACAGAAAACTCATGAGTAGAGTCTATTGAATTCCTGAAATTCCAGTTCATTTGTAAGTCACTAATAGGTAGCAATATATATACATATTAAATATATTATAAAATGATGGTGAGATACTTTAAGAAAGTGCTTTTGAAATATTATAAAGTAATTAGTGTTTACATCTATTTTTCATTTTATTTGTTCAACATTATGCTCTTGAAGATGGACGCCATTGTAATCTGATTTTGAGATATGTGCTAGCGGCATCTTAACTGGGAAAATGTCCCATCTTACCCTTAACAATACAGACTCCAACTCATCTCATTCTTAAAATTACTGGCTCTGGTCCCAATGTGGGGACCTTTTTGTGGAAGCATTATTTTGTCTCTTACCCTATGTCTTGTCTATGAATCAAGAGAAACCCAACAATGTAAAGTGTTTGATCCATGTGCACATTTCTGCCCCCTCACTCTCATATATAAGGAGACAGCTTTTCAACTGCAAATGTTCACTTCTTTGGGAAAATTACAAATCATATAGCTGTGTTACCAAAAATAAGAGAAAAAAATACAAAACCAACCATAAAGCACGCTATCTGGCTAGCAATAAGAAATGGCTTGTTAAATTAGGGTACCACTCAAAAATGGCATATTTCACAATTATTAAATGGTAATCAGGGACACTGCATAGAAACATGAAAACATACTTTGGATATAAATAAAATAGAAAAGAAAAACACACAATTATAATATGTAAGGTGCATGTGGGGGAGTCCTAGAGGATAATACGATAAATGGGAATAAGTAGTTTTGTTAAGATAGTGGGGCTGTGGTTTAAAACATTTTTTCCCTTAACATTATAAAGTAATAGTAACAGTGAATTCAGTGCAAAGAGGAGATATTAATAAATAAATAGAGGTTGGGTATTACAAAAGGGCAAAATATTTAAAAGAATGAAACTTCCTTCCCTACATGTGCTAGCTCAGTGGGTTTTAAGACCCACTGAGTATTGGAAACATTTTCAAATGAGCTGGTTAGTAGGGTTTGGAAGAGAGTCTGAACTTGACCTATCTGGATTTTGTTTGCTGTGATTGTAATAGAAACTAAATCTTGAAACAGTTGTCTAAATGTGCTCCAGCTTGGGTATCTTGGCTGAATTCACACTTTAAAATCAAGAAACATTTTGGAAAAAGAACCCATGTGCATAATAGATAAGAAGTGTCAAAAAAGAAAAAGTCAATAGAAAACATTTCAAAAATAAAATGCCAATTTAAAATCAAGTTGAAATGACTATTTGCATTAACAACGAGTAAAAAGATAACTGGTGCATACTTATTTATGTCTGTCTGAAAGCTCCTGAACGGAACAGTCAACGATCCTCATGTCTATTGCCTTAGTATAATATTAACAGTTTACTAAAACTGTTGACCAGAATGAGCTGCGGTTTCCCTCTAACAAGCTCAGACATTTTTCTTACCTTGTTTTCCTTTTCTTCCAAAAATTTTCAACAGAATGGCTGTTTTCCCTGAATAGTACTTAACAAGTGTTGGTTTGGGGCACTAGGCTACCCTGCTGTATATTAGGAAGGGGTTGCTTAATAGAAAGTTTTTATTTTTAAATCACACATACAATCACATATTTTATTCTCTCTGGTCAAAGTTCAGTCACCTAGTCAACATTTGCAAACCATTGTTGTAGTATTGCAGAAAATGCCCTCAGATGCATATTTAGATACCTTACATATCTTAAGTAGGTGGATGGAAGATGAAGACTGAAGGAAGTTACTTCTGAACTAGAGCTTGATAAAATATCTTAGATTCTAAACTAGTAATTGACTTTGGATGTGGATATTGGAATGTGTATGTGGTATCAAGGAGTTTGATCTGATTCCAAAAAATCAAAAAGTAACTTTTCCACTCCTTAAACCATACCTAACACTATAAGCATCTCTTTTCAGACTCTGTGTAGGATTTGCTGAGTCTCTGTGAACATCTCTCTCCAATTTCTTGCTATCTATTCATCTCTAAAGACAAACTAGAAGTTTTTATTTCTAAGAGAGTTAGCTAATAATTTTTGCTTTCATTGAAACACGATTTCTATTTTTCAAAATGCACTAGAATTATTAGGAGGTATTGCGATTTTAGGAAAGTCTTTTCCCTCCATGCCAAATCCAAAGTAATTTACATTTAGTGCAAAGGTATGTATTAGATTATTTGGGACTATACCAATATTGAAAAAATTTTACCCTTAATTAACATCTTCATTTTGTTTCTAGAAATGTCTTTGTTGAATAAATAATATTTGTTAATAAAACGAATCTGCTTTCACACATCTACAAAATTCTTTTAAGTAGTAACAAGAATTCAGTCCATGTCACATAATTTTTATCATGAATTGCATAACTTTGGCATGAATTTTGCTGTAACTCATTTCCTGGCATTATATAAAGTGTCATTGACATAAATGCCATAGACTATTCAAACTGCGAAGGAGCGATAGACATACTCTCATACTCAGTCCCACTTCTTGATTTCTGAGGAGCAAGAACTGAGGTACAAGATAACAAACTTTGCCCAGAATCACACATCTCATTTTCTGACATTTAAGCCCTTCTAAAAACAATTATATACTTTTGATGCTGAACTTGATTTGGAAATTGTGATTTTTAAGGGCGTGATTCTTAAGACTGAATAATTGCTACACTTAAAGACTTGCAGAATTGGACCTGAAATACACAAAAGGGGTATGACCAGAATTTTTGTCCTCAGTTTCCCCTTTAGCAGAAAGTGGCTAAAACTATCTGATCATTAAAAATAAATCATCATTCTTTGAAGGATGCAAAATATCATGATTTCTCTAAATAATTTCAACAGGGAATAAATAGTATTCTGTCTGTTTGCCTTCTTGTCTATTACAATTAAGCAAGTGAAATAGAAAATACATGGTAGGCTCCCATTATGATTTTTTTTCCTCAGTAGCAAAAAATCAACTGTGAAATAAAACAGACCTTTGTCATGCAATGTTCACTGATTAGATGAACTTCATAAAAACTGAGCTTTAGTTAAATCTGGTAGATTAACTCTTGTTTCATTGGCATTTATAGTCTTTGGGAATGTTGAATAAATGTACAAATAATGACACTTCCAGTAGTTTAACCATTGCATTTTATGTAAATTCTGCATGAAGTTCAAGACTAATGTATTAACTTCATAGTTTTCAGATTTTAAAAGGCATATAGGAATAGTAATTACCAGTACCTATCTCCCAAAAAAGGTTAAAGACACTTTTTATACATCTGTAAAACTCATTTTGACTTGATGAACACAATTCTAATCTATGAAAACATTATGTCAAGTCATTTTGCACCTGATGAGGAAATTATACATGAATGGTAGTAAATGTTAAAAAACACTTAAGATAACCGAGTAAATCAATTTAAATGAAGAGTTTGAAAAGTAACATAGCCATCTAAAAATGTTAGGTTTTTTTTTTTTTTTTTTTTTTTTTACCTGGCTGGTCACACTTACTTTATTTGAAATCTCTGATCTTGTCAGAGGATAATATCATAAAATTCAATTATATAATTCAACTGTCTTTAACTCCCCCTTTTCCAAAAACCATCCTACCTAAGTTGGGATGTAGCTTTTCTATCTTGACTTTTTTTTCCTTCAGCAAATAAATAATAAGTGTGAAGAGCTTTCACCAGATAAAAATAATTTCATGTAATGAAGCACTAAATTGTTTTGTCTTTCAATTTATTCAGACAGAAAGCAGCTCAGTTTCCCCATGGCAAGCCCATGTATCATTTCATGGCTGATATCTGCAGCCCACTCTAGATTTTTCTTGCTTTTAGCAGGTGCTGGGTAGCCCTTTCTGGGTTATTTTACAAAACATCCAACATGGTTTAATTGTTAAAAAGCAATTGGAATTGCTTCCTCTCCTACCCACTGCCTCTTCCAGCGTCCTTAACCCTCATCACCCTTCCCTGAAATGTGTCCCCAACATGACTATTTACATGGCTCTCAGGCACCCGAGGTTTGCACATCCATCACATACCAAGTCCATTTCTAACAGTGTGAAGGCTGTTGGAACAGGGCAGTTTCCTTCCCCTGGAAGCTAAGTGTAGCCACATTTCTATCAACACAGCGACTCTTGTATGCAAAGCTTAGACTATTGTCTCATGGTCCCACCTGCCTTGACTCTGATTGATGTAACAACAGTATCTGTCATAGGGACTGTTCTGCTTGTAGGAGCAAACGATGATACTGTCCTGGGGCACAAAGAAGATGCTGTCCTCAGGCTCAGGGCACTCAGATCTGTCCCAGGCTGAGCACTTGGCATCCAAGGCACTGTAGGCTAAGGAACTGCCTGAGGGACAGTAGCCGTCCAGGTATCTGGATGTCTCCTCCTGATGCCCACTCTGGACCAGGCTCTGGCATTCTCCTTCTTCCGTGGGTGTGGGTGTGCTGATGGAACCGACCACAGGCACCTCTGTCTGCCCCTGGTGGGGAGGCTTCCCTCTGAAGCCTGCCTTCTTAGCCAGCTCATCTGAGCTTCCCTTGCCTGACTCCAGGTCTGAAGGGGTCCTCAGCAGTTCCACCACCTCCTTGTCCTTGGGCTTCCGGAAGCAGGGCAACTTACGGACCCACAGCAGCTCATTTTCTGGCCACTTAGTGCATCCCTCAGTTTTCCTGGCCAGGGCAATGGCCGCAATGCCTGGCAGGCAGATGGCTGGCCCGATGGCCAGGAGGGGTATGTTTCCCAGAGTCTCTCCTTTCATCCCAGAAACGGTGAACATGAAGCCAAAGACCAGAAAGACACTGACCAGGGCCACCACCAGCCCAGTCCTCGGGTTAATGTCATCAGGCCGCATCTTTCATTCCATCCAAGTTGGGGGCTGCTTGCTGGCTAGGGAGCAGCGGACCTCCCTTCTGTTAGAGGCAAAACCACAGTGGGTTAAAAAACAAAAAAACAAAAACCAGAAAAGAAAAAGAAAACCCGTCAATTTCCCACCCACCAACTCTCTATCTCTCATACTCTGTGTCTCTCTCTACTTGTCTGTCAATCGCAGTCTCTGAGTCTCTATTTCTTCCTGTTTCTGTTGCACACTCGCTCGCTCGTTCTCGTTCTCTCAGTCTGTCCAGTCTGTCTGTCTCTTACTATTGTAGCTTCTGTCTCTTTCATATAAACATCCACCCACTGGGGTCACTGAGATACCTGAGGTTTCCTGCCGTCTCCCAGGAGCAGGGAAAGAAGCCAGTCTGAGTCTCCTTAGAAACCTCCACAACAGCTGTCCCCTCGGCTCTCTCCCTTGTTTCTGGAAGGAAAGCCTAGCTTTCCCCACTGTCACTGCATCCAGGAGGTGGGACGTGAGAGTGCGTCTCTCCCATCAGTGGCCGTCGGTCTCCAGAGCTCTGGGAACCGAGTGGCGGCACAGCCCAGCGCCTGGCTCTGAGCGCAGAGCGCCGGGTGCTGGAGGAAGGACTTAGTCTGGGAAAGAGGGAAAGCAGCGTGCGAGTCTGGCCTCGTTACATCATTTTCAGAGCAAGCTCAGAAACAAAGAAGGACGCGCGGGGGCGCGAGGGGTTCAGACCTCGGGGGGAAGCCACGGGGCAGAAGAGGTTGCCCAGGGTCCAGTCGGGGCGCTTGGAGCAGCTGGTGTTCGTTCCGCCGCTGCCCAGGAGGGCTGAGCAGGACGGCTGCAACCGCCTCCGTGCCTGGGGACGGTCTGGGTGTGCGAGGCTGCCGTGGGGCCGGAGAGCGGAACTCTAGTCGGTTTGCACATGGGGCAGCCTGGACCCTGAGTTCACGGTCCGAGGGCCAGAGGTGCTGGCTGGATATATCCCTCGCGGACCTGGACCTTTATCGAGTTACAAATCTAGGTGATCCAACCCGACTGATAGCAGCTCCCAGGAGGTTCTCCGACTGCCCGTCTCTCAACCTCGAGGCTCTCAGGGCTCAGCGGGCTGCAATGCTCCAGGGTCCCGCTGCCCGCGCGGTCTGCTCTTGGTCCGCGCGCTGGGCGGCAGCGGCGTGCAAAAGCGCTCCAGCAGCAGCGCGGGCTGCGATGCCGGAGCCCACTGGACCGGCTCCCCCAGGCTGAGACAGTGGCGAGGAGTGGGTGTCAGGTCTTGCTCGAGACTTCTGGGGAGTCACCTGAGACATTCCCCCTGGTCTTCCAGCTCCGGACTCTGGTGGGGGTGGTCTTGGAGCCGGGATCCTACTCCAACGCTGCGGTGGTGCCAGCCAGGCTGTCTGGGTCAAAGAAGAAGGGCTCTCTGACCCCGGATCCCCATCCCCGCGCATCACACCTGACACCTAGCTATCGAGGAGAAGTAGGGGCCTTGACTGGGAAGGTCAGGTCGACCAGTGCGTCCTGCAGCTCCAGCTTGGGGGATTCTCACCCCTCTTGCTGAAGCTGCCTGTCTTATTCCCACCGCAGTGGGAGGATTGATTCTTCTGGCCCCAGAGGCAATACTGATTTGACTGTGATTCTTCAACAAGGATATTCATTTAAGGTAGATGGGAAATAGTAAGGAAGAGAAAGGAGAAGGGTGTACATTCTTTCATGTCAAGGCACTGCAGTGGAAAGAACTTTGAAAGAGCTTTGACATCCAGGCCTTCCCCTGCTTAAACAAGCTGTGTGTTCTTGGGCAAGTGACTTAACCTTTCTGAGAGTCAGTTGACTCATCTGCAAAACGAGAATAGTACTCCCAAATATGTGGGGAAGCATCATGAGGACTAAGAAAATGTAAAGCTCTTAGTGCAACACTTGGTAAGTGGTCCTTAATCACAATGTGGTTGAAATATATATTTACATATTATGTTATAATCCATGTAAGGCACCAGTCAAATAATAAAAGGCCTAATGGTGAGGCTAAGGACCTTCAATTTTATCCACTAGGCAATGAGAACCATGGAAATATTTTTGGCAGGGATCAACACAAAAGTATCCCATTTTTGACACAATGACAGCAGATTAGAGGACAGGTTGCCGGGGGTGGGGGTGGGGGTAAGTGTAGAAACAGGGAGACCTTCTAGGAAGGCAGTGCAGTCAGCAGGGCAAGGCATGCTAGGGGGCTGAACAATGTGGGACTAGGGGTGGTTAGAAGAAAGTGAATTTGAAGGATAGTTAAGGGGAGAGTCAAGTGTCTTGGATCAGAGGAAGAAGGATGGCGTAGGAGTCAGGGCTGACTCCCATGTTTCTCACTTGTTCAGCTGAGTAGATCAGGAATCAGACTCCTAATTTTCCATATCATTTACTGTGTGTGTCTTTTGTACTCATGTGCATTCGATAGCTGCTGTCTCTGTGGATATAGAATCATAATTTGGGGAAAGGAAGGGGAAAGGCAAAGGGTAGACATGAGATGCCAGCTGTTTGACCATTTGTATCACTTCTTCTTGACAGCCTCACCAAGTACATGGATAGACATCGACTTATATCTGTTGGCCACAGGGATGTCATATGGGCCACGTGTAGATGTAAAGGAGCTTGGGAGATCACAGTTTAATTTTGACCAGGTTTATTGGCACTCTGAAAAGAATAAGAATTTCGGTAGCAAGGAAAAAGAGGAGAATGAATATTAATTAAGGAGGCAGCTCCCAGTGTGTGCCCCGGTTATAGAACACATTTACCTTCTTGAAACCCTCTCTTGTCCTGCCTTTATTGACACCGTTCTATCCCAATTTTCCTCCTGTCCTCTTGGCCACTCATTTGTAAGCCTCTTAGTAATGTCTTCTTTATTTTATTTATTTTTATTTTTAACAGAGCCCTTACATGTTGATCTTCTGCTGGCTATGTCCCTGTTGCTCCCTTTTCCTGACTTCTTTTCCCACTTTATAGTAGTTTTCAACACCAAGTAGATAGGATGCAACTCCTAAATTTGTCTCATTAACTTTGTCCCATTTCTTCAGCTTCAGATTTGTAGTATCTACCTGTCTGCTTGATGTCTGTCTATATGGTACACAGAACCCCCATATTCAACATGACCCCAGCTGAGCTCATCAAATTTCCTTCAGGCTTGCTCTTTCTCATTTGACCCCAACTGAGAAGTTTGTTGTTGTCCTCTGTTTCTTTATCTCCCTAACAACCTGCACCCTGTAAGTCACCCAAGTCATCATAGTCTTACTTCCTAAATCCCTTGATCTTCTCTTCTACCCGTGGCCTGACACAAATCACTTTACATCCCTGGGTTATAATTTCCTGTGAAAACAAAGGCTTTGGATGAGGGGCTAGCTGAGCTTCATTTCAGTTCCACCAATCCATGCTTCTCTGACAGTCACTTCTGCAGGGTAGGACTGATGTCTTTGTTATGTAGGTGCTTTGACAATAGTGCTGGAAACCAGTTGGATTTTACTTTTTTTAATTTTTAATTTTAACATTTATTTATTTTTGAGAGACAGAGCACAAGCAGGGGAGGGGCATACACACACACACACACACACACACACACACACACACACACACAATCCTAAGCAAGCTCTAGGCTCTGAGCTGTCAGCACAGAACCCAACATGGGGCTCAAACCCACGAACTGTGAGGTCATGACCTGAGCTGAAAGTCAAATGCTCAACCAACTGAGCCACCCAGGTGCCCCCCAAGTTGGATTTTAAATAAGCAACATTACTGAACAGAGACCTCTGTTCACTTGTACGAGCATATAATTCCATTCTGATTTTTAAGCCATGCAGTTTATCTACTTAAGCATTAGATAAAAGCCATGCATAAAGCCACAGGAAACTTCAATTACTGTTTAATTATAAGCCTGATTCTCAAAACAGTTCCTTCTTAGAGGTAATTTCAGATGGTCTTTGAACAGCAGGTATACTTGCCCAAGCCCAGCAGCAAAAGTGGGTGTATATGGGGTGGTGGTGGGGGTGGAGGAGACATCACTCAGGGCCACAATATTCAGAGCCAGAAACAGCATTACTAGTATTTAATTCCTTGCCTGTACAGGCTGATTGGACTAGGATTTTAAAACCTTAAGCAGTTCTTGTAGTGCTGTAACCATATACAGCTATGTACAAAAGCTTTTCATCAGAAGAGAAAGGAAATTCATGTTGGAAAGAGGCTTTGGCATGTGGGTGTTTGAGAAGGAAATGCAGAACCTTTTATTTCTGAAATTATAGAAATTATGGGATGCTAGAATTTGAAGATACTTTATAAAATATCTACTCTAACCCCCTTTATTGTACAGATGAAATCCAGAAAGGTTGCGTCCATGCAGTATTACTTGAGTATTTATTATGTGCCTGGCACTGTGCTCCCAGTCAATCTGGAAACAGGTCTGCCTTTATAGAACTCACGTTCACAGAGCAAGGTGGGTGTATTAGCAGGACAGGATAGATTATGCTGTGGCAACAAAAGACTTCCAGACCTCCAGGGTTGTATGCTCATACTGCATGTTTATGCAGGGTCAGCCTCAGCCTTGCTCCACGTTGTCTTCACTCTGGGATCCAGGCTGATAAGGCAGCCTCCATTTGGGACATTCCCCATTCATTGAATCCAGGCAACTCAACTAGAGGCCCTGCACTGGGCCTTCACTTTAGTGGATTCTCTCTTGGCGCCTCCAGCTCTGCCCCTCCTTACAGACTGAAGTGATATGCCCCTACCTGCTCACCTTCCTGCCCTTTCTGGACCATGTAATAGGTTGAGATAGGTACCCAGAAACCTAGAATTCCCTGCCCAAACAGTCCATACCTGCTTCCAGGGCTTGTGCACAGCTCTTTGCTAAGTCAGTCCTCCCAAGGGTTGGGAGGGTGTGCACACCTTGGCCTGTGGGATAGCTAAGGGACCACTGTATTTTTGAGTATGGATAAAGCTCTGGGATGCAAGACGGGATGTCTACACTCTGCCTTTCAGCCCTTCCATGGTTTAGAATAGAACCAGGGATGGGAAGAGAAAGGCAGCATTCACTTTATTTTTGCCTGGAGACTCACACATGTTAGCCTTCTTGGAGCGTTTGAGGAAAGGATGAAGAAGTCCCAGCTATTTAACAGGTTCCTAGCTGTGCATAGAAAATAGACTTGAGGCACGTAACAGAGGAAAGGTTATTATGTACAGTACGGTGCATCCTTTGGAGGAAATTTTGTACATTCAGTTGAGGGAGTATTATTCATCTGTAAACTTATATTTAAAAAATTTTTAGTGACCCATGAAAATGGTCTCAATATAAGGCTAATGATAAAAACTACTAATAAAAATTTTGTTACAGTAACTTGAAAAAATTCTGTTTAATAGGATCATGATTGCTAAAGAAATCAGAATAGAAAAAAAACGAAAAGGAAATACTCTCAAAATATGAATAGTGGCCATTTCTAAGTGGTGGAATATTATATGATTGTTATTATT